TGACCGGTTTCCCTTAGCAATCGGCATATATAAAAGGACTGTGTGTGTCTTTAGCTTCCTCGTTTTTTCGGACCTAACAAATCTGGCTGCGCAGGGCTCCGGCAAGGTCACCATGGCGGCGGAGATCCCGAGGCTTGCCCTAGGAGGAGGAGGGGGAGGGGGAGAGCGACTACCGGTGCCACCGATGGCTGCAGCGGAGGAGGATTCACCGGCGGCCACGAGCACAAGGAAGCGCTTGGTGGTCAATGAGTCCTAGAAAAGGACAAAAGGAAAAAGATAGGAGGAAAACCGAGAGAAGAGAGAAAAAGATGAGGGAAACACTGACCTTTTACGTGGGTTCTCTCTTATCAATTGGGTTGATAATGTATTTTAATGCGTCCACTGTCTACCAGTAAAGACCACACTTTTTGAGTATCCTGTAGCAAATTTTTTTCACAACAAAAATACCTTGTAGACACATTTTCTTAATAGGCATAGGCATTTGCCTCATAAGTGCCTTTTGACCAATAGTGCCCGTCCCACACCCACATGCGCGAGCGCCCACACACACACACACAAATGCCTACCATTTTCTAAAAGGCCAATAGTGGGTTTTACAAAAAAAAACAAATTGAGTTGAAATAAACTAATCATTTCCTCTAACGGTCCAACCTAGATTGTTCCTCCTTTTTCCTTGAAACAAACTGGAGTAGTAGTCAACGAGGAAGCTAGGGAAACAAAGTGGGCCTTACCGACCAGTCTTCCTTAGCCATCGCCGTTATATAAAAGGACCCCGTTTAGTGTGAGTGTGTCTGTGTGAGAGTGTCTTTAGCTTCAATTCCTTCGGACCAACTTAATCTGGCGGCGCAGGGTTCGGGCAAGCTCACCATAGTGGCGGAGATCCCGAGGCTTGCCCTAGGAGGCGGAGGGGGAGCGGGAGAGCGGCTACCGGCAGCCGGGGAGGATTCGGCGGCAGCCACGAACACGGGGAAGTGCCAGGTGGTTGGGTCCTCCTTGGCGGCCATGGTGGCGGCATCTGCGGGGATCCAGCCGGACGCTTTTGCCCTAGGTAGGCCAGCGGAGTACCCTGCCGGCGACGGGGAACGCGACCTTCTCATGGTGTGGTTCCTGCGGTCCATCGCCGCCTTCCTGGCCGACGGGACGTGCCAGATGCAGGTCAACGATGGGCTGAGTTGCGTCGTCGACCTCGCCAGCGGCGTCGGTGGGGAGAGGTCGGCGCTGCGGCTGGCATCCACCTTCGCCGAGGCGCTCGCGCTGCGGTTCATCCTTCTGTGTGATGGGGTGGACCACTAGTAGGGTCCTTGCACCGACGCCACCGCTGTGGCCGCTGCCGGTGGCTGGTGCTGGTGGTGCTAGTGCATCGGGCTCACGCTACGGCGGCGACGGCGAGCTTGTCGGCGGCAATGTGGTGGGTCGGATGAGGTGATCATCTGACGCATGGATTGATGCATGATTCCTGATGTGTGTCTTCGTGTGTGATTGGCCTCATACTATTGTGTGAAGGAAGGGGGGATTCGGCATCATCGTGATCCTATGTGATCTCTGGATTAAAAACTTTCATTTTTGATTAAAAACTTTAGTAGTGATTTATCGTTCATGTTGATCAACTCAACTAGTTATTATCCTTGTGCTACTGTCATTTGAGTTTTTATCAGTATGCATGCACTCAGACTTTAATTTTCTGTTGATCGAACAAGTAGTTGAAACAATGTTTTTTTTTATGATGTGGTGTGCTATACTGCCATGAGATTTTGTGGTTTTGCATTTTACTTTATTTGATTGATACATGCAAAATAGCTAAGGCACGACAAAACTAGTGGAAATATATTAGTCTAATTCAAATCAATGCATTGAACGTTGTTTTACCCAATTTTTTTCGTTGAAAGATGATGGTCAAAATGGGGTTTTACATAAAACAAATTGACTTGAAAGAAAGTACTTTGAATTATTTCCTCTATTACTTGAAACAAACTTGTAGTCAACAAGGAAGTGGTCTTACTGACCGGTTTCCCTTAGCAATCGGCATATATAAAAGGACTGTGTGTGTGTCTTTAGCTTTCTCGTTTTTTCGGACCTAACAAATCTGGCTGCGCAGGGCTCCGGCAAGGTCACCATGGTGGCGGAGGTCCCGAGGCTTGCCCTAGGAGGAGGAGGGGGAGGGGGAGAGCGACTACCGGTGCCACCGATGGCTGCAGCGGAGGAGGATTCGCCGGCGGCCACGAGCACAAGGAAGCGCCTGGTGGTCAATGAGTCCTAGAAAAGGACAAAAGGAAAAAGATAAGAGGAAGACCGAGAGACGAGAGAAGAAGATGAGGGAAACACTGACCTTTTACGTGGATTATCTCTCATCAATTGGCTCGATAATGTATTTTAATGCGTCCAGTGTCCTCGGACAAATTCACGTTTTTGTGATGTCTACCAGTAAAGACTATACTTTTTGAGTATCCTGTAGCAATTTTTTTTCACAACAAAAATACCTTGTAGACACATTTTCTTAATAGGCATAGGCATTTGCCTCATAAGTGCCTTTTGACCAATAATGCCCGCCCCACACCCACACGCGCGCGCCCCCACACACACACAAATGCCTACTACCATTTTCTAAAAGGCCAATAGTGCCCCCGCCATATTGTTTCCTAGGCAACCGTAGCCCACCCGTCATAATGCCTATCACTCGCTATGTTGCAACATGCCCTCCACGTACTACATAATCTCCCACCACCATTAATATAAGCAACCAATAAACTCATGCTTTATTTTTCTTTTGAAAATTTAGATATCTATAGCAATTAGTGTAGATGCACAGCATTGGACTATTTAGATATCTTTCCACATGTCATGCCTCAGCTTTATCCTTTTCTTTCTTTTCTCTCTCTCTCCTCTCTTGTGTTTCTCTCTCCACCTATTCTCTCTGCCCCCGGCATCTCCCTTTTTCCTATATAATGGCAACTGACGAGGAGGCTTCTGACCATCGATCTAGGGAGGACAATCCCCTCCGGAGGGCTAGAAGGTGGGTGCCACCGCGGCACTGGCCTCGCTCCCTATCTCATCCTTGCCTCACTCTCCTCCCTAGCCATCCCTACCATCACTGTAGCGGCTGCTGCCCACCTCTCCATCGCAACCTACATCACCATCTCCACACCCCGACTTCAACGCCGCCGTGGGGGTCCTCTTCACGCGCCACGTGGTCGAGGGACACCATAGACTTCTAGTCTAATGCGCACGACGAGCGACAAATCGGTCAAGTGCAAAAAATATATTGCATGATAAATAAAGACTAGAAGTAAATACAAAAACAAAATACTAGTACTAAAAAATATATAGCTCATGTATATTAACCAAAATGTATGACTCGGAAAAGATAAAATAATTGTTACCGAGCTTCTGAAGATACTCCTATGGACTAAGGCCTATTCCTGACTCGACATCATCCCCTGAGTGAACTTCTCGTGCTCTTCTAACGGACTACAGTTAGCTATTTACGCTGAGTTCTTTCCTCCACTTTCCCAACTCACATCTCCTGTTTTTCGCGCGCACGCTTTTTAAACTGTTAAACGATGCGTTTTTTTGTAAAAAAATTTATATACGAATGTTGCTTTTAAAAAATCAAATTAATCTATTTTTGAAATTTTTTTGCTAATACTTAATTAATAACGCGCTAATGGATCGCTCCGGTTTTCGTGTGGAGGAGATGGGTTCCCAACCTGAAGGAGCGAACACAGCCTTAGGATACTCTAGTGACTAAAAATAACAAAATGGAGCTGCTATGGTGGGTGTGAAATGTGGTGGTGTGTGAATTGAGTTGGGGGGCTATAACCCTCCCATGATCGATGTTATCCCCCTCCCCTATGCAATGTGGCACTGTCTAGTTTCTGCGATGTCTGAGATTTCTACTAGGAGGTGATTTTGTCCCTCGCATTTCTTTATGAAGTGATCGGTCGATAGGCGGGTACATCCTACGCCAAGCCGATCGGCTTGTCAGAGTGTACTTGGTGGTTAGTTGGGCTTCTTGCTAGGTCAATTCGCCTTTAGGCTAAGTCGGTGATGCTGACTAGCCTGGTGCCCCGCAGCGGTCAGGCTAGGTGGCCAACTGGATTGACCAGAATGGTTGGCCACCCAAGCTTAGCCTCACGTGGCTTCAATTAGCTTGGTGGCCGGCCGGTCACTTCTTGAGTAACTAGCTAGGTCCTCTTGCCTAGTCGATCGGTACCAAATGTGTTCAAAAGTTTTGGATTTTACTTTATTTTATTGATACCTAGAAAATAGCTAAGACACGACATAAACTAGTGGAAATATATTGACCTTGTTTAGATGGGATTAAAACTTTTTTTAGTCCCTATCACATCGGATATTTGGACACTAATTATAAATATTAAACGTAGACTATTAATAAAACCCATTCTATAACCCTGGACTAATTCGCGAGACGAATCTATTGAGCCTAATTAATCCATGATTAGCTTATGTGATGCTACAGTAAACATGCGCTAATTATGGATTAATTAGTCTTAAAAAATTTGTCACGCGAATTAGCTCTCATTTATATAATGAGTTTTATAAGTAGGCTATGTTTAATACTCCAAATTTATCCGATATGACAGGGACTAAAGTTCAGTCTCTGGATCCAAACACCCCCTTACTCTAATTCAAATCGATGCAGTGAAGGTTATTTTACCCATTTTTTTTGGTTGAAAGACGGTGGTCGAAATGGGGTTATAAAAAAAACAAATTGACTTTAAAGAAACTAATCATTTCTTCCGACGGCCCAACCTTTTTCCTCCTTTTTCTTGAAACAAACTACGGTACTCAACGAGGAAGCTACTAGGGCAACCAAGTGGGCCTGACGCCCTGAGTCCCTGACCAGTCTCCCTTAGCCATCGCCCGCCGCTATATAAAAGGACCCCCGTGTCGTGTGTGAGTGTGTCCTTCTGCGCGAGTGTCTTTAGCCTTCGGACCAACTTAATCTGGCGGCGGCGCAGGGTACTTCGGGCAACCTCACCATGGCGGTGGAGATCCCGAGGCTAGCCCTGGGTGGAGGAGGAGGGGGAGCGGGAGGAGAGCGGCTACCGGCGGCCGGGGAGGATTCGGCGCCGGCGGCCACCAACGCGGGGAAGCGCCCGGTGGTCGGGCTCGGGTTCGGGTCCTCCTTGGCGGCCATGGCGGCGGCGGCGGCGGCGGGGATCCAGCCCGACGCGTTCGCCCTAGGTGGCCCGGCGGAGTACCCCGCCGGCGACGGGGAGCGGGACGTTCTGATGGTGAGCTTCCTGCGTTCCATCGCGGCGTTCCTGGCCGACGGGACGTGCCAGATGCAGGTCAACGACGGGCTGAGCTGCGTCGTCGACCTCGCCGGCGGGGACGCCGACGGCGGCGGCGTCGGCGAGGGGAGGTCGGCGCAGCGGCTGGCGTCCGCGTTCGCCGAGGCGCTCGCGCTGCGCTTCATCCTGCCGTGCGACGGGGTGTGCCGCTCGCTCCACCTCACGCGGGCCCCGCCGCCGCCGGCCGTCTCCGCCGCGCGCCAGGGGTTCCGCGCGATGTGCCCGTTCGTCCGCCTCGCCGCCGCCGCGGCCAACCTGTCCATCGCCGAGGTGATGGAGGCCGAGCGGGCGGTCGTCCACGTCGTCGACCTCGGCGGCGGCGTCGACGCCAACCAGTGGGTGGAGCTCGTCCGCCTCGTCGCCGCGCGCCCCGGCGGCCCGCCGGGCCTGCTCCGCCTGACCGTCGTCAACGAGTCGGAGGACTTCCTCTCCGCCGTCGCCGCGTACGTCGCCGCGGAGGCCCAGCGCCTCGACCTCAGCCTCCAGTTCCATCCGGTGCTATCCAGCATCGAGGAGCTCTCCGCCACCGCCACCGGATCAATCGGATCCCGCCTCGTCGTCATCCCCGGCCAGCCCCTCGCCGTCGTCGCCAACCTCCAGATCCACCGCCTCCTCGCCTTCCCCGACTACGTGGACGGCGTCGCGAGCAGGAGGCCGGCGGCGGAGCAATCCGGATCCAGCCAGCATACGATGACGACGGCGACGAAGACGAAGGCGGACGCGCTCCTCCGCGCCATCCGCGACCTGAACCCGAAGCTGGTGGTCCTGACGGAGAACGAGGCCGACCACAACGTCGCGGAGCTCGGGGCGCGCGTCTGGAACGCGCTCAACTACTACGCGGCGCTGTTCGACGCCCTGGAGGCGAGCTCCACCCCGCCGGCGGCCGTGCCGCCGCACGAACGCGCGTGCGTCGAGCGGTGGGTGCTCGGCGAGGAGATCAAGGACATCGTCGTCCGTGAGGGCACGGGGCGGCGGGAGAGGCACGAGACGCTGGGGCGCTGGGCGGAGCGGATGGTCGCCGCCGGCTTCTCCCCCGTGACGGCGGCCAGGGCGCTGGCGAGCACGGAGACGCTCGCGCAGCAGATGGTGGCGGCGGGCGGGGGCGGTGCCGGCGCCGGGGTGCTCAGGGCGGCGCACGGCGGCGGGTGCTTCCCCGTGATCTGCTGGTGCGACGTGCCCGTCTTCTCGGTCTCGACGTGGACCGCGAGGAGGGTCCTTGTGCCGGCGCCACCGCTGTGGCCACCGGCGGCGGCTGGTGGTGCTGGTCCATCGGGCTCAGGCTACGGCGGCGACGGCCCATCGACGGCGAGCTCGTCGGCGGCAATGTGGTGGGTCGGATGAGAGGTGAAATCATCTGACGAAAGGATTAATTGATCCATATAACTATTGCGTGAAGGAAGGAGATGATCGGCATCATCAAATATGTTGCGCGATTTAAAACTTTCATTTTGGACTATTTAGCAGTGATTTATCGTTCATGTTGATCAAATATGTTAGTTTGGTGTTTTCAGGGCGAATCTTTTCTTAGGTAATTGGTTTTGCATTTGTATTCTCTATCAAAGTATCAATGAAATGAGTCAGACCTTCCGCGCAATTTTTTTTATAAACAAAATATTATTATGTGGTCTGGTACTCTGGTTTATATCTTGTGCCAGTAAGATCACAAACTGCTATCTTTAGTTTGTATATGTATGCATGGTAGTCTGATTTTATCCGGGGTGTTGTGTTCTGATGATCATTATTTTATTTTTTGAGACAGGAGAGAAATATCCTCTCCCAGAAATGATCAGAAATTCAAATCAGTGGCATTACATATTTAAATTAAAGGCTAGAACTGAACTACATTATCCGAACTAAATTGCCAGGTTAATTATGATGCCATATAATACCATCATATATCCTGCAATGCTCCGTAACATGAACAATACTAAAAACAGGCAAGTCTGGGCTGAGCAAATTCCAAATTGACAGCCAAAATACAAAAGAAATAAAAAAGCCAAGACAGACAAAACTTCATAGCTAGCAAGTTTCCAGGATATATGTCGTCGCGCCGTGCCAGAAACAATATACCGTCCAACCAGCTCTATTTTGGTCTTCGATTAATTAGCATCGATCTCCAGAAACAATATACCGTCCAGAAGAAAGTGCATTATATTCCAGTTTCCCTGTCCTGTCTGCATCGATCTCCAGCAGCCATATTGAGATCTATATATAGTGATATCAGTATTTGGACCCTAGCTCTAGTCATATGAAAAACAAAAATATATTGACCACTGTGTCTTTTAATCATGCATGATTAATAGGAAATCAACCATTTCGGACGAATGAAAGATGTGCTCACATGTGTTATAATTATGGTTACGTTGATGTGTATACTCATGTAATATTTAGCAGCGCGATTCTTTTTGCAGGAAATTTCAGCAGACAATAAAATGTTTCGCAGAATTATATATATGTTTGTCTATAGCCTTACCCTACTTAGTTTAATTAGAATCTAATATAACATTATTTTGTGGGCTTATATTTCTTCGGGATAGTTTCTGGATTTATGGCCCGTTGTTTTTTTTATCTCTAAAATTATGTATAAACCAGTGTTCCCATATAATAGCTCACTGGAACTTACTCCTACTTAGTTACGCGCGCCTTCTCCTATTCTGAGACTCCCAAATTAGACCATATAAATTCACTTGCATACAGTTCAAGGAGTAGCACGCACACACTCTAGATCTTGGGTTTTTTATTAGTTCCTTAATGCCAGATCTAAGTAAGAATTTTGTTCAGCACCAGTTTATTTGTTCTAGGAAGAATATCTAGCTACAACATTTAGGAGGATGATGACATATCTTTGAATGATGCATGATACATATCAGGTACTTGGGTCAATGATTTGATCAGCATTTGGACCACATATATATATATATATATATATATATATATATATATATATATGGATCTTTTTTTCCCCTTCGAGAGCTACACTGCAGAGTACCTTCGATCTTTTCAATGTAGAGAATTATACACCAGCTAGCTGGTGCTGGGCATATGCTAAAGTACTACTGCTTGTACATGGGAAAAAAACTCTGGTAGAGATGAATTAGTGGTACTTATTATAAGGTGTGTGTTGATCTTCTTTTAATTTGCATATGATATTTCGTTGTTTTTTGCATCTAAAATCCCTTGATATTTTTACCCTGTTTCTGGTTGTAGTGATATTTTTATCCTTTTATAGGCTCAAATGATCTCTGCGCTCCCTATAAAAAAAAATTCTACCGTTGTATATATATTATTCTCTGTTTAATTTCTTTCTGAACTAAAAAAGATAATTACAAATAAGAGAGGGCTCTGCAAATAAATACGCGAAGAACAATAGAATAGGCAGGTTTTTAATTTATAAACCAGAAAAGTTCGATTGATCTGAGACTTCACTTAGCATAGAGTTGCTGATTTATGTTTTTGTTTGCAGTTGGTGCCACTGAATCTGTTAGGAGTATATATGTGCTAGATTGTCGGTCCCTAGATACAGGGCCATGAGAATTGCTAGAAAAATTTAACCATAAGCAGCACAAGTATTATTATATGTATGCACATCGACAAACAATTATCTGCATTTTGTTCAGGTGTAAATTTCTGGATTTGCAGACCGTAGTATGTTTAGCATGCATTTATATATACATCATATGAGAAACAAAAAATGAATCACTGTTGGTTTTGATCGTTCATGATTCTTAGGAAATCAACCATTTCATGGTCTAGGAATTGAATGCAAGATGTGCTCACATGTGTTTTTTGATTGATGTGCTGCGTAATTCATCAGCAAGATTTTTTTGCAGGGAAATTTAGCAGCAATTTATTTTTGCAGAATTATGTATGTTCTTCTATCAATTTAGACAAATTAGTTTAGTGGTTCTAGGATCATTATACAGGCTTATATGCCCTCATGATAGTTCTGGTCTTTAATTAGTTTGGTCGTTGTTTTTTTTTTTTTACAAAATTATGTGCAACCCAATGTTCATATAATAGGTACAGCTCTTATTCTGAGACTTTCTAATTACTCCAAATAAACATTACACATACAATTCAAGAAGTAGAACACTCCAGTTCTTGGGTTTTAGTTCCAAATTTATAGTGCCAGGTTTGAGTAATAATTGTGTCAGCACCAGTCCAATTTTTCCTGAAAGAATATATACTAGTAATATTTAAGGTATAGAATGATGACAAATCTTTGAATTATAGTACATTTCAGGCTGAGCTATGGTTTGATATCAGCATTTGGACCCTAGATAATCATATCAAAATTTAATGTACTAGCTAGTGTGTTGACAACACAGAGATAGATATGGCTTGTCTTTTTTCCTTCGAGAACTTTATGGCACGGAGTTCCTTCTCTTTTCAATCGAGAGAATACACCCAGCTGGTGCTGGACATCAGCAAAATTAGTACTGCTTGTATATGGGAAAAAAATATCTGCTAGAGATGAATTAGTAGTACTTAAGGTACATGCACGTCTTCATTTAATCTGCATATGATACTTCGGTGTTTGTTGTTTTTTTCATCTAATTAAAATCCCTTGGATTTTTAATTTCATCCTGCATACTTCTGGTAATTAGCACTGTTATCGTTTGCATGAAATCTAGACCCTATTTTTGGATCCAGGGAGACTAAATATTAGTCCTGTCACATCAGATGTTTGGACACTAATTAGAAGTATTAAATGTAGACTAATGACAAAAGCTATTCCATAACCCTGCACTAATTCGCGAGACGAATCTATTGAGCCTAATTAATCCATGATTAGCATATGTGATGCTACAGTAAACATGTGCTAATTATGGATTAATTAGGCTTAAAAAATTTATCTCGCGAATTGGCTCTCATTTATGCAATTAGTTTTATTATTAATCTAAGTTTAATACATTTAGTTAGTGTCCAAACATCCGATCGATGTGACAGGGACTATAAAATTTAATCCCCGGATCCAAACACCACCTTAATAGATCTATGCTCCCCCTGAAAAGTCTACCACTGTATACTATTCTGTTTCTTTCTGAACTAAAAAAATGATTACAAAAGCATTTGTTTAATTTTCATGTGTATATGTAGATACATAAGGAACAATAGAATAGGCTTGTCTAATTCATAAATCATCAAGATATTGATCATCGTTGCTGATTTATGATTTTGTCTGCATATGCCACTCAAAATCTGCTAACTAGCTGTATATATGTGCTAGCTAGGTTGTCGGCTACAAGTCATGAGAATATACACCTTGAAAAATTCAACCATAACCCGCACCAAGTATATATATCTATATATCTATATATGTATGCACATCATCAGAGTTTCAGAGATTTCAAACAGTGATATGCATTTGGTTAAGTAAGTAAATTTCTGAATTGCTGTTTTAACCCACCTGTGGATCGATATAGAGGCCAGATTTCTACCCATTATACAAAAAATACTAAACTTCTGAATTGTAATTTAATTAGCATGCATTTTTCAGATAAAAGTATATGAAGTCTTGCATATACATCATAATATATGAGGCACTAATTTGTGAGATCCATTAAGGTGTGCACTTTGATCATGCTCAAAGCAGATCAACATTACATGCATGCTCTAGATCAACAGGATAAGCTAGCTCTCGCAGGTGTTTTTTTTTTTGGTTTCTCTGACTTCTTTTGGGAAATGAATATACTTTTATACAATTTTAGCAAAGTAAGCTTAACATATTTATGATTATTATTTTAATTAAGCGCGCTACTCCAATTGATATGATGAAGACACATTTAGAATATAGTTATATTTTTGTTTTCTAGAATTAGGTCGGTGTCAAAATTTCGGAGATAGCTGCCATTGAAGCTTGTCTTGTTCTTATTAATTCTATAGACCAGGTAGATAATCTAGTTGTTGGGCTAGGTTTTTTCAGTTTGTTTGATGTAGTGTGATTTAATTAGCAGCGGAATGTTTTGCAGAATTATATATGTTTATATATAATTATGACTTCGCAAAAATTAATTTAGTGTCTAAGATCATTATTAATTTTACATGCTTATAAGGCTTATATGTTCTCTCATGACGATAACTTTAATATTGGACTTTAGTTTTGGTCCGTTATTTTTTCAAAAATTAGCTGCAAACTATGCAAGTGAATGTTTCCATATATATGACTATATAGCATTGAACTTAGATACATTGCTCTTTGTTCTAATGACTTTCTAATTAATTAGACCAGATAATTTAATTCAAAAAAATAGACCAGATAAACATATATACTACGTGCTTGCATATATATTAGCCTTGGTGTTTAGTTTGTTTTTAAAGGCCAACCAAAGGAAAATTTT